GGTCGTCTACACGTAAATGATCCTCTTCACTTATGTTTCTGCACGCCAACTGACCACCACGGTAAGTGCGAATCTTCGAGGCCGTGGCCGCATCAGAAGAGTAGATAAAGGACGTATCCATAAAGTGTGTTACACGGTTCCACTGCAACATATATTTTGAGAAATAGATGCCCTCCTGCTAATAATTGCATACCTGGCCTGCCACGACATTATTGCTTATCGTAAAAAACACATCGCATTCAAATGCAAACATTAAACTACTTTGAGTGCAAGAAGAAACCGACAGCCCACGGCTCGTGTAACAGGCTTCGCGATATCTCACGAAGCACCATCTGCTCGGACGCACCTGGCGTTGCCACATGACACAAATTAAGAGGTAACGAACGGTATGGGGCCCGGCGACTCCTAAGTAGGGTATTTCCGGTAAGCGGACCGGCGAAAGGGAGGTGGAAAGGGAACTGCCCAGTCCACCACTCCGCCGCTGGTTGCATCTCTGCCGCTGATGCACGGGGGAGAGGGGGAGGCAGCGGGGCGACGCAGCGTCTACATGCGCAGTTCGCAAGCTGAGACCGATCCAGCAGCGGCTCGGCCGTTCCATTTCTACTTCTTCACTTACCCGAAATACCCTATTGGAGAACTATTGAGGACTTCACTTCAAACAGCAGTGTTCCAGCGCCATCCAAAAGGGAAGTGGAAAAAAAAAAGTTCCGTCAAAGCACGGATCGTGGAAGCAGATGATACGTATGTAATGATCAAGCCTTGCATTATATTATTTCAGCAAAGGATGTGGAAGTTTCAAAGATCTAACACCCACATTTATTACAGAATTTTGTTGCTATCTATACCGCTATTTAAATCATACAAGTTTTCCATTGCCGTTTTATTCTCCTTCGGTGTTTGGAATAGCATGATATGATAGCACTTCCCGTAACACGCACAAATGTTAGTTATTCAACGTAACAAAACACATCTGATAAACTAAGTGTTCAACTGATAAATACTTGCAAGTGTGCAACTGCAAGTTGAATACTTCCAAGTGCACGACTCGGTAGATGTGCACTTGCACACCTACAAGTGTTGAGCAGTT